TCCAGGCCTACACGAGATGAGGCAGGATAAAGAGGGATAATCCCCCTCGATCCCAAATCATTGAGGCCAATTTCTAGCCATAGAAAAATGGCGCGAGTTACTATTTTTGCCAAATTGAAAGGCCCTCCATTATATGAGCCTTCAAAATGGCGGCCTTCATTATTAGTTGGTTTACACATTTTTACTCTTTTTTCATATCTTTGGTGATAACCATAGAAGAAGAGTTTCTTTGGTGATAGCTCAATGACAACTGTAGCCAACACAATTAATGAACTTATTCAATTACACATTGTTACCAACATTTTAAATTAATGACAAGTGATTAATGTCTAATATTTTTGTTGTGATTTCATGATTGCAAAATCGTTTTTAGTTTGGTTTGACAGCTTTTGCAAACTGTAGATTGATTAACTTATAATGCTATTTATGTAAATACCAATTTACAATAATCACAGCTGATAATGGTACTATTGATTTAGATAAATATCACAAAAATTAATCCTTTGAGGAATGAAAATATAATTTCAAAATGGCAGGAATGTCACCATCTGAGGTAAGATTGTTATTTATTTTAATAAGTAATTATTTGCAGCTGTTCTATATATTAATTTTGTTCAAAAGATATACCTACTTTATGCAGAGAAAATGTAAATAAGTTGTTGTTTCAGAGAAGGCTTCAGAAAGAATTAATGTCTCTGGTTAAGGAACCACCTCCAGGGGTATCAGTTGATTCTAATCTGGCAGAACAGAATTTACTGCAGTGAGTGTTTAAATTTAAAGACAAACATGAACTTATTTTGGTCTAAAATGCCAAGATTTTAGGGATTTCAGAGAGTCCGAACATGTACTATTTATTTATTCTGTTGATTTAAAAATAAGGTGTTTTGAAATTAAATTATATCTTTTAAAGGGCATTCTCTTAAATTGTTCCTTTTCTCAGAAGTAGATAACCATATGAATACTTCGCACTGACTAATATGAAGGCCTTCCTCCTCCAGTCAGATGCAGAAGTAGATATAACTAAAAACTTTAAAAAATATATGACATATCTTTAGATTTTAACTTAACTTTTAAAACCTTATTTTGAAACAAAAAATATATTCCATCTTGTATTAACCATTAAATCATGTAAAATGCCCTTTAAGTATTAAAAACAGAGCTATTAAAATTTATTATATTTGCACTGATGTAAACTAGTAATTATTTTAAAAATATTTTAATAAACTAATCTGAATGAAAGGCGGAATCCAGAGGCGGACTGGCTAGATGAACAGGCCCGGGAAACATTCATCAAGCGGCCCATTTTTTGAAAGAAAAATATTTTTTATCTCTACAGCTCGGACTGGCCCAAAATGACCGCGGCCTATCGGGAAACCTCCCGAGTTCCCGCATAGCCAATCCGCCTCTGGCGGAATCTGCTTTAGTAGTGACACATTTGCAGTCAACAAGCATATCTTTCTTAAGAGAAATACTCCATTTAAAAGATAAAGTTTAATTTTGAAGTAGTGTGAATATTCTATAAAATTGTTTCTAAAATACATTAATGAATATACCTAAAATACTGATGTAAACCAGTTTTTAAACATTTAGTCACATTCTTTATTGCATATTCAGATTCAGTTATGAATTACAACCTTTTAACCCTTGGCCTCTGGGCAATTAGAATCCATGTAATAGTTTGAATTCTTATAAGGAAAGTGGGCTATGAACGAGTGATAGTTTGATGTTAAAGAAAAACATGTCGGTGACTTTTATTCAAACTATTTTTTAGCAACTTTTATGATAGTCGTAGAAAATTCATAGTATTAAAATTGTAAAATATGATTATTCATTACATTGCTCTCTGAAGGAGCACTTATTTACTACTACAAATTCCTTGAGTTCCTAAATGTGGGTTCAAACATTTTAAACAGTATTTAAGATCTTGAATGGTATATTATGCAACTAGTGTTAGAAATATCACTTGTCACTCTATTGGGACGGTTTGGTGACATGACAAAGTCACATGCAGTATTGCCAATATAGCGGAATTTCACTACATGTAGCAGGATTTACCTTCAAGAGTGGTATTGCAGCGACAGAGCAAAATATAGTGGGTTTTCATTTTTTAAATGCATATTAGTACAACATCTAAGATGGATTTATCATAAACAGTTTTCATTACTAAAAATAGACCCACCCATTAATCAATATTGGTAAAACTAGCGACATCTTTAGAATAACAGTTTAAACTGCCTTCCCTTGATTAGTGGACACTGGCTACAATGAATGCAATGATGAATGGCAAGCGTGGCAAGTCCTGTAGGGTAGGGGTAGAGCACTACGCTGACTGAACTGAACGGTATTGTCAGTATTACGATTGCGGTAAATACGGTATCGGTAGAGATTTACTTGTAAGTAAACGTTACAACACGTACCGTTTAACCATTTTGATTTTGTTTCATGTAAGTATTTAATACACATAAAAAGGTATGTAATGAATTATTATTATTATAATAGGTATTAATTTAAGCATGTATCTCCACATTAAGAAAATACATAATTGCAGGGGAAATTAATGTCCGATTCTGAAGTATGTAATTATTCTGATTTGGAAAAACGCTGACCATCTACGCCCAAGAAGAAAAAGGCAATGAGGCATGAACTGGCCAGGGTGAAAGGAAAAGCCGAAAACAGCTTTTCTCAAAAAGTGGATGAAAGAAGATATTTCTAAGCATTGGCTGCAGCCCATTGAAGATGCACGTAAAGCTGAATGCCTGTCAGCTGATTTTGGGAACTAAATGAAGTGATTTGTTAAACCATTGGAAAAGTCGGAGGCTTTTAAGAAATATGAAAACATTGCGAGCGACTAGAGGTCGTTGCGAGTTAGAGGTTAAGATTATCTTTGTGATTTGTTTTTTAACCAGAATAAACTGTTTACTTTACTTTAAGTTTTCTTACTTTTATGTAGGTACCTATAAAGAAAATAATAATAATAATAATAATAATATATTTATTTCATAAGACTGCTCACACAAAGTATCGAAAATTGTCAAAAGTATGTAACACGAATAAAAAACAGATAATTATTGTATAAGGACAAACTACAAAATATAGACCAATGACAAGATATAGAACATAATTACAAAATACAGAATAAAAATTGCAATAAAAAATAAAAAATTACAATAAAACAATTAAAATTAAAAACCAGACTTATTGAAGACCAACACATATACTCATCAATATTATAGAAGGGATTCTGTAAGAGAATTCGCTTTACTTTGTTATGAAAGAAAACACAAGAATTTATCTGTTTAATATGCGTTGGCAACTTATTATATAATTTAATGGACATAATAAAAGGGCCATTAGCCGTTAACGTTAGGCGATGCTGGGGTATTTTTAAATTAAGAGATTCTCTGAGATTAGTCAGCCAGAAGACTGACTTGTATTGGCACGTGTAATGAAATTTGTTAAATGGTTTTTCACATATGTAACACAGCTTAAAATATATATAATAAATAGAGCGGGATGTCACGGATTTAGCAAAGGTTCGTCTGTAGCGGAATTTTTATAGTGACGTAGCGATATTTGTAATTTTCTAGTTGGCAATACTGGTCACATGAGTATGAAAAGTGATTTTGGCACTTGTTGCACACTATGCTTAAAAAATTCTATTGTGAAACTAATTTAAGACATATTTATAAATAACACTTTTTTTTAAAGTTTATGCACAAGTATTCTGTTTATTTTAGGATCATGAAGTGTTCTTATGGTTAGCATGCAGAAAGTATTCTTTTCACACCCCGTAAATCAAATTAGGAACTAAATGCACATTTACAAGACATTCTGTAACCCCAAAATTCTGAAGTTCTTATCGACAGTGTTTTACAATATTTCCGGCAATGGTTAACGTATTTATATACTATTGCTGAATTTTTGTCTTTAATTGAGTAAATTATTAGCCCATGTTTTATACATGTATAATTTAACATGGTGTCAAAATTCGGGACACCCTGTATTAAAAAATTAATTTTTTTTTCATCAATATCACTTGAAATATTTATTTATTTTTATATTAATTTTCCAAACAGGGGTAAACGTAATTACATTACATACAATATTAAATACAAAACATTATATCAAACTTAACCATTATAAAACAACTAAAAAAAGTACAGTGCTGGCCCTTTGAAAGTAGATGACTCTTATAAGCAAATTGTCTATAATTGGCCTTTGTGAAGCTGACTTGAAAATGTGAGGTTCAAATCGGCTGTCATTATGTCAAATTTAATGTGTGTCTATCATACTAGTTCTAGTGAGCAAAAGAAATCCAAATTAGGTAGCAAATTATTTATTTTTCCAATAATGAAATATATTATACATTCTAACGGCCATTCATTCGCCGTCAACAATAATGGAGGAAAATATGTCCACATTATTAGAATAAACCGTATTAATTAAATGAGACATGACTATAAGTGGGGAATACAATGTTGTTCTGCGTGTAGGAATATGTAATAGTTCTCTCAACCTGGTATCTCTAGAGAGGATGATAAACAAAAGATATGGATAAAAAATGTAATAATGTAAAATATTTTACCCAAACAACAAAATAGCAATAATTCGTCTAATTTTCAATATATGTTAAATTCACTATACTGATCATTTGTATGAACAATCAGGGAATCTGTTTTACTTTTTAAAATATTTTTGAACAAACTGCTATACATTTAAAAATCCATCTTTCAGTGTTCTGAAGATTTTTTTTTTTTTCAGCTGGATTATAAATATGCAAGGCGCTCCAGGGACTTTGTATGAAGGAGAATGTTTCCAGTTGCAATTTAAGTTTAGTAATAAATATCCGTTTGACTCGCCTGAGGTAATAATTCTATTTTAGGGTATATAATATGAGAATTAGAATAAATTGGGTCACTTCATCCAATCAACACCAGTTCTTAACTAATTTTGTACAACTTAAGTAGAAATAAGAAAGCAGGAATAAACATACATTATTTCCTTTCCAGTTTTCCTGTTTTCGTCTATGATATCTCCTCCTTACAATTCTGTTCATAGTGTTGAATTTAAAATCATCCAGTTGCGCAGGTATCTGTAATGCCAATCAAGAGGTCTGTTAACATATGATAAGATCTTAAAAATTAGAAATTAACCTTGCTCCAAAAAATATACTAATAAGATTTTAATTACGTATTGATAGTATTATTCTTAAAATCAAGGAGTCGAGTAATAGGTATTAGAAAAAAGTTTTTGATTGGACTTCGACCAGCTGGCAATCAGCTATAAATTTCTTCCTCTGACATATCTTCTATTTTGTTCAGTATTGTATGTCTAAATTTCCCATATTTGAAATTCAGACAAACAAAAATTATTACAAGAATAAGTTTTTTCTAAAATCAGAAGTAAAAATGTTCTCTATTTGGCACGATTTTATAGCGGCCACTGTATAATTTTTTAAATAGTCACACTTTGTTAATTATTTACTAGAAACTGATTTATAGTTCATATCTGCAAACTAGAAAATTTGTTAAATCTACCTGGAAATATCAGGGAATTTTTTGGTAAAAATTTAGCATATCTACCTCCTGTTTATTCTAACATACTATTTGTAATAAGAATTGTGATATGAAATTTAGTTAAGGCCAAACGCGTTTTTGGTATTCAAAACCTGCGACAATAAAAAATATTGACAATTTCGATTCTCGGTGATTAACACATGTAATATTATTTTTTAAACAGATTTTACACAAAAATAGAACATTCTACTAATATGGACCAAGAGTACCTTTTTTTTACTAGAAAATTTTAAAATTTCATACTTTTCAGTCAAAAGTAAAAAAAGTTATGGGAAATTTTACCCCCCTTCCCCCAGTGTTGGAACGTATGTGATGAAAATTTGTAAATTTCGTTTTAGTGGCAGACTGAACACGTAAGAGTTAAGCTAGTTACCAAATTTCATAAATTTATCTCAGCTGGTTTCGGAGTTATTTAGAAAAAAACATCATCAGAGTGGCCCCTTTAAGTGGCTATAACTTCCTTAGGAAGAATTTTTGGATCCACGTTTATATAAAGAAAAAGTAATCTTTTTCGACATAGAACACCCTGTAGAAATATTGCCCCCTAATTTCGGAACACTGTATGTTTGTTTCAAAAAGAAATATTCCGAAGACATTCACCTAATAGCCCTTTTATGTTTTGAGACTGCTTTTTTATCAGTTTTGTTTCAATTTTTAACCTTTAATTCAAATGTGATCGACTATTTTCAATTAAAAGTATTCAGTATATGGAACGATCGGAAATAGGAATATTTATTGTCGAAGTAAAATTAATTATCTTTCAGATTATATGAAAAAAATTATTTTTATATATTTTTTATTTTAAAATTACTATTTTCAGATATGTTAACGGTAAAATAATAATTTTTGATGTTGCTGAGACCTAAAGCAAAAAATCTAATAAATCATCAAAACTGGTGTGGTGATCCTACATTTTGATGTAGAAAATAGCATTTTTTTGCTATATATGTATATGCAGGGTGTCTCGAAATTCATGCAATAAAATTTGATCATAGATTCTTAAGACAAATTTAGGAGACCCATATTTTTTCTTTTTGCCAACTGGCTCCCTCTTTCGGAGTTACAGCCCCCTGAAATCTGCCCTTAAGAAATCTTTTTTATATCTTAAAACCATGTTGTACAAGAATCACTAAATTTGGTACACAGGGGTTTTATGACGTGGAATCTAACAGTGCTACGCTTTTTGACGAGAAACCCCCTTAAGGCACTTTTTCGTGGGCCCCCTTGTCTTTGGAACCAGAAAAATTTGAATTTCTTCATTACTAGTTAGCTAGAAAGCCATTGAATTTAGAAACTCTTTTGTCTCTTAATATTTGTTTCGTAAAATGCAATGTTTTTGAGAAAAATAGCGAATCACAATATGCATTCGATCACATTTTGACATTTTTCTCGAAAACATTGCGTTTTACGAAAAAAGTATAAAGAAGCAAAAAGTTTCTAAATTTAATAGTTTTCTAGTGGACTGATAATTTTTATGAAATTTAAATATGCTACCAAATTTTTTTGGCTCCAAAGACAAGGTGGCCCACGAAAAATTGTCTTAAGGGGGTTCCCCGCCAAAAATCGTTGCACCATCAGATTCCACATGTCATAAAACCCCTGTGTACCAAATTTAGTGATTCTCGTACAACAGGGTTCTGAGATATAAAAAAAAAGATTATTCTTAGGGGCGGACTTCAGGGGGCTGTAACTCTGAAAGAGGGGGCCACTTGATAAAAATAAAAAATATGGGTCCCTTAAATTTGTCCTAAGAATCTGTGATCAAATTTTGTTGCATGAATTTCGGGACACCCTGTATACAGGGTGTCCATGGGCTAAACATTACCACTAGATTCTATGAAGCTACGACCAAAATTAATGGGGAAGTCATACACAAATAAATGTTACACCGCTGCATAGAGCGGAAATAAATAACATGTTTCAAATTTTCAATGATTTTTCGGCATAAAAGTGTACTTGTTGAATATCGCTCTGAGCCACTATTTTCTAAAAAACTGCGGCTAAAGTCAGCAAGGATGTGCAGTTCGTGGATAACGTAACTTGACTAACTTCCAATTTGTGTTATAGAAACATAATGTTTTGTTAATTAAATAGCATTACCGAACATTAACATATTTTAATATATTACAATATACTGTCTATGTATAATATTTCAAGTATTACAACATTTTTTGTGTAACAAATAATTAATTCATAAAATAAGTCTTCTAAGAAAAAATTATGCCCCCCGAACAGTGAAAATGATGGATTCAGGTTTCTTATAGCATTTGCACCTCTAACTATCACAGTTCATCTCTATTGTTGATAGAGGCAGCACTATAAACCACGGCCTCAATATAACCTCAGAAAAAAAAATCAAGCAGAATTAGATCTGGACTATGTTGAGGCCATGGGTGTTCACTTCCTCTTCCTATCCATCGATGAGGAAATATGTTATCTAAATGGTTTCTTCTTTCTTAGTATTGGAGGATAAGGAGCAGGGGCACCATCATGTAAATACCACATGAGCGCTAATGTTCAAAGGAATTTCTTCTAGCAGTTCAATTAAATTAGATTGTAGAAAGTGCAGATAATTTTGGTCGTTTAAAGATGCCCGAAGTTCAAAGGGCCTTAGAAGATGACTGTCTGAAGCAAATATTGAACTTAGACTCATGCTGAAGGTGTCGTATAGTTCTTTCGTTTGGATTTTCTTCAGCCCACATATGAGAATTTTCTTATTTATTAAATATGCTTTCTCTTAATCTTGCAAATAATCTAGAGAACAATTTTTGGTCGGGTTGTTTTCGATTAGGATAAAATGTTTTCCTTGCTGCAGCATGTTCACTAAAATTTTCTTGAGCATAAACTGTTAAAAATATCCATCAATTCCAAATTATGCCATAGCATTGTGCAAGAATAATTTACTTGAACTTAAAAATGAAATATCTTTTATATTCTACAAATTAAAAGTGACATTGCGTTAATGACATTTACCTACTAGATAAATAAGTCACGAAGTTACTTATCCACGAATTGCACATCCTTGCTGACTTTAAACGCAGCTTTTTCAAAAACGGTGCCTCAACGATATTCAACAAGTATATTCACTTCACTTTTAAGAAGTTTTCGAAAATCATAGTAGAAAAACAAATGAAATTCAAACAAAATGGCCGCGGATGTTAACTTTCTTAATTTAAATGGAACATCCTATATATTTTTACATATTTGGATAGAACGTTCCATGCCGAGTACAGTCATATATGGTTTGTTGGGTCCATCTCTAACAATAAGCGAGATAATATTAAAAAACGAAAAGAAGATTTTTTATTAAGAAAATAAGATATTTTGTAATTGTTCGACGTCTTTCAGGCATTTCTGCCTTTTCTCCAATTATATAAGGATTTAGATTTATTTGTAATATATTTTGACATATCGATCATTGATATAGTCCAAAATGGGTATAAGTATTTTAACTAAATCTCACTAATTAGGCTGTGAGAGGCCTATTTACTCATGGACAATGTTATATGGTAGGCCGTGACAGTGACAGGTAATATTATGACAACATTGTTATTGTTTGACAGTTTGTATTATTATTTAATTAAAATAGGTTACACAGAAGTAGAAAATTTAAATATTATAGGAATTAAGATAGAGTAGTTAAGATATTCTCCATACTTTATTTTAATTCCTAATAACATTTCAATTTCCTATTTCTGTGTAACCCATTTTAATTAAATAATAATACAAACTGTCAAACAATAACAATGTTATGACATTACTACCTGTTACTGTCACGACCTACCATATAACATTGTCCATGAGTAATAGGCCTCACACAGGTTGTTAACATCCGCGGCCATTTTGTTTGAACTTCATTTGTTTTTCTACTATCTTTTTCGAAAACTTCATAAAAAATCGTGCAACTTTTGTATTTCACATTTTTTTATAACTCTTAAAACAAAAAGGTTAAAGGGGGGGCTCAAAATATAGTAGTAAATTTTAATGTTATACCTACATACTTATTTAGTAAATATAATGGACAAGGACTATGAATTAATTTTGAGGGATTTTTTTGTAAATTGGAGGCTTTATTGTGAAAAATTGTATACATTATTATTTTGCAAAGTATTAACCATCGCCAGCCACTACTTTTTCCCATCTTTCTGACAGTATACAGATTCCATGTCGAAAGAATAACTCTTTCTTTTGATGCTATTCACCAATCAATCCAATTTTTCATATCTTTGTAAGATTGCACTGCTTAGCCAGGCCGTATCCCATGAATTGGAACAAGTAATAATTCGATGGTGCAATATATTGTGAATATAGCAGCTGGGGTAAAACATCCCGTTTCAGCATTTCTAAATATTTTTTGACTTCATGAGCAACATGCGGTAGTGCGTTGTCATGTTGAAAAAATTATTTATCCTGCCTTTTTTTCAAATTGCAGTTGTTTTTCCTTCAATGCACAGCTCAAACACATCGATTGTGTTCATTCAGTTGAAGCAGCTCATAGTACGCAACACTAAAGTGGTCCCGCCAAATACAGAGCATGAACTTCGAACCATGAATATACGGCCCCGCCATCGATGTTGGTGTATGACTAGGCAAATCCTCCCGATGTTCTACCCTTAGGATTATCATAGCATATCCACTTTTCATCACCAGTGACGATACCATGCAAAAAACAATTTCCTTTTTGCCGTTGAAGCAATGTTCACACCTGAAAATTCGCCGGTCAATATCTCTCGGTTTCAATTCGTATGGTACCCAATTTCTTTGTTTTTGAATCATATCGAGTGCATTTAAATATTTGGAAATTGTTGTGGGACCAATATTTAACGATTCAGCAAATTCATCTTGCGGTTGACATGAATTTTAATCGAGTAATGCTTCCAATTCCTCATTTTCGGTTAACCAGGGCCTTCTTTGTCAACTGTATCGAAATTACCACTTCTAAAACGTCAAAATCAATACTCATATGTTCTATCGATGGAGTATGTTCACAGTAAATTTCCAACAGCACTCGATGACTTTCAGCAACACATTTCTTTGAATTAAATAGCAAAAGTAAAACTTCCCGCAAATGGTGTTTCATCGGCTCGTAATTCGAAATCTTCAGAGTTGAAAAAAATATATGTACACAAAACGACACATAATAATAAGTAAAACCTAATGACAGAGGTTTGAATACAATTATAAAAGTGTCTGATGCGATATAGCATTTGTAAATCCCTCAAAATTAACTCATAGTCCTAGTGAGTAATATATTAAGTGGGTAAATTAAAGAATAAAAGAAATAACTTTTAAAGAGATTAATGACGGAATTTGTATGTTGAAATTCACACTAGAAACAATTTAAGATTAAGAATTTTTTTATATATGCAATAATATGTATCCTGTTGTTTCGTTGCAAAAATTTGTTTAATCTGAATTGAAGGATTGATGAAATTCACACATTAAGCTTGTGTGAAAAAATAAATTTTCCAAGTTTTCCAAAATTTTGTTTCAATATTTTATTATACAACTTTTGCTGACCTTTGTGTAATTTGTTAATTTATTTATAACTAAGTATTTTTCTAGGTAACTTTTGTAGGGAACAACATTCCAGTACATCCCCATGTATATAGTAATGGCCATATTTGTTTATCAATATTAACTGACGATTGGTCTCCAGCCCTCTCAGTGCAGTCTGTATGTCTTTCAATTGTATCTATGCTCAGTAGTTGTAAAGAAAAGGTATAAAAATTACGATATCTGCAATATCTATAAAATAATGCGTATTTCCTTTAGCAAAGGCCACCTGACAATGCTTTTTATGTAAAGACTTGTAACAAAAATCCAAAGAAAACGAAATGGTGGTATCATGGTAAGTACATTCAAAACAGTGTAAGCGGTTATGTGTAAAGTGTGTACGAGCCCTAACAACTGAATGTTCAGCTGAGCGATAGTTTTGGTAATAACAGTTATCTTATAAGATTCTTAGTGCAGTTGTTTAAAGAAGTTATAAGTATGTGAACTAAATATTGAAAGTACGAAAATGTCCATTTTATCGAATAAAAGTTTTAATTTTTTAGAATGTTAATCGATAGTTCAGAATAGAAAAGTTATAATGGAATTTGACTTTAATTTATTTCATTTCTTGAGAACAAAACTACTAACATTTTGGACATATACTGGAAATCCGCTCTTAACCCTTTCACTGCTCCAGACGTATATATTCGCTAAAAATTTATAGGGCTCAAACTGCTCCAGACGGATAAATTCGCATGAATAGTTAAATTGGATCAGGCTGCTCAAACCGTATATATTCGCAACCGTGCGCATAGTGACTCGGTTATTGCAATTGGTAAGGCGAATTTTTGCGGGCGAGCTTATACCGATTGTGACAAATATTTTTATGGAAAGAGGTACTGGTAATAGTACCAAGATTGTTCATGTTTCTTTCAGTTTCTATTTAGTACATATACTGTATTTTATTCAAAATAAAATCGTAAAATTTATCGTATATCGTAATTTAACACAACATAATGTAAAACTATAAGTGGTCTAACTGCTCCAGACGTATATATTCGCACGCGATAAACAATTGCGCACGGCGCGGTAGCTACGTTCAGACGTATTGCGCAGCGAAAGGGTTAAGGGACGATTTGAAATTTGGGATTATGAACATAAAAACCTTTAAAGAATTTTTTTATTATTATTTTTTGTGAGATAACTCCGCCTCTTTTTAAAATACTGCAATGAAACTTGGTATTGATTTCCAGACATATACCTACTTAGTTTCTATAGATTAGCAGGTCACTCTCTGCCAATCTACGCATTTGAATAGCAGTGACAATTTAAGACGTAACACACTTTTTATGTTATTTTATATCTTACCTAAAACATGAAGATCCCTAGGAACACTACCAGCTTTTTATTAAAAAGTATTTGAGAGCGTTTTTATCAAATTAAACTTCACATTTCTATGACTTTACCAACTTATCTCTTCTCAAATATTAATAATAATTAGATAATGAGATATTTGTCTTTAAATGTTGTTTCGTATAATTCAAAAAGTTATTTCAGTTAAATGTTGATAAATTGATGTAAATCATTAGAAATATTTAATTTACTTACAGATTTACCAAAAATGTGAGGTTTAATTAAACTAAAATGCTTCCACATACTTGACTGTTCATGACTGAAAAGGGTAGTAGCAAATTGAAATCCATTTTCCTTTGAACTAATGCATTTATAATAAACAGGTTTTTTGGTAAAAACAAAATACTGTTTCCAGTATTATTAGCAATCTCTTATTTTAGGTAAAAATTAAACATTTTCATATTTGGCTATCTAAAAACCTAGTTATCTTTATAAAATTAACTAAAAATAATGTATTTAGAACTCGTAAAGAAGCAATTTTGTACTAAGGTAACTTGATATAAGTTGATTTATGCTCTTCCAAGAAAACTATCCTTGAAGTATGACCCATTTATAAAAATATTTGTTAGTCTATACAGGGTATTCCCGTTTTAATGAGCATGGCTTCAATAGCGCATAGAGAAGATGAATCGGATAGATGTTGAAATTTCTAAAAAAAAATAATTTTTATCTGAAAGATAATTTGTGTGGAGGAAATATTTATTGAATTACTTTTTATTGCATTTTATTAATTTTCCTAAGAAAATAATGACATGCCAATATCTTACCGGTAATATTTCATCATTTTTACAATGCCCAAATATTTTAAGAAGAAAAACTATTCTTTATTTTTTTACCTAGATTACACAGTTTTCCAGTAAAACTGAAGTTGATTGAGAACATCAATGCATGCTGCAATAATTTTTTCATTTTCCTAAGTTGCACAGTTTTTCAGTAAAGTTGAAGTTGATTGAGAACACTGCAATTATTTAATCTCCAATAAAATTTCATTGATATAAGGTGGCTTTGGTTACTATTTAGATTGTCAATCATTTGACAGAAAACAGCAGTTTTTTTCGTTATTTATTTAAATAATTTTAAAAATTTTGGGAATTTTTGTAATTTATTTTGTATTTTTTAAAATGACATTTCGATTTACCATTGAAGGGTATGCAAATATGCATTACATGTATGGATTATGCAATAAAACTACAGTGGAATACCGTAGGCGATTAAGCATAGTTTTTCTTCTTAAAATATCTGAGCATTGTAAAAATATTGAAATAAGATTCTGGCATGTCATTATTCTTTTAACGGCACTGGTGATTCTACCAACGCGAAAATTAGCACATTTATAGAAAGCAGTTCAGTAAATATTTCCTCCATGCAAATAATTTTTCTTTCATTCACAATATTTCTCCGATATTAATCTTGAAAAGAAGAGGTTTAAGGAGTATGTTCATTGAGAATATTTTGCTTGAAATAACCTCCATATGCTACTGAAGTCCTCATTAAAACGGAAACATTCTGTATAAGCATCCATACAAAAATAAATCTCGAAATATTGTAGGTTTCACTACAATTTTATTTTAGAGTGCAACACTTACAATTAGTATAATACATATAATGAAATTGCTATTTTTACAAATGTAACACCTCTTCTTAATAAAATGTATATTTTCTTGAAAATTCTAGATATTTTGCTATTCTGAGAAGTAATCTACATTATATATCATATTTTACGTCTTTATTGGTAACGCCTTTTTGCATTTCTTGAATAGTACTATTAAAATATAGGTATTACATTACTTTCAGACATTCTGTTTAACCTTTTTTTTTCAGCATGTAGAACTGAAAATACTGTCTTTTTTAATTTCATTTATGTTATAGAATTAACTTTTTTTCAGATGATTCTGTTTGAGGATTTATATGGAGAAACTTAATGGTTATGTGATTATAATATATAATTATTTATACAGTTTATAATAGTTTTGAAATTATATTTTATAGATATAAATCAAGTGATTAAATTTTAAAGTGTTAATCTATGAAAAATAAATGTTATATAGTGCCTCTGACATTCAATACTTATGTTACTCCTTGATTAATAAATGTATAAGCTGTTGATTAAATTTTAATTAACCTTTGCAGAATGTTGTATATTTATAAATTTCTGTAGAATACCGTAAACTGTTTTTTATTTTAGCCAAACATGTACCCATGTTTTTTCTTTATGAGGGCGTCAAATATGTTTTAAAATCAAATGTTAACCATGTCTTTTCCAGAAAATAGTGAAAACGGCATTGAAATTAATACAAAATACATATTGAGTGTTGGTAGTTAGTTTTTTACCATCTGCTAGATGTCGCTAACTACGTTTTATGACATACCGTTTTTGAGGTTAGGTATTAACACTGACATATTTAGCACTCCCAAAAACTTAACTATACCAGTTTTTTTTCATGATATTTTTCTTTGGAAAAGATGGCAAAAATTTTATATATAAAAAAATCATTAATTCTGTGTATCTGAAAAGAAATAGGCCTATGGTCCATAAGAAACGATATTCTTATTTTTTTTTTGTTCCATCAGCCCTTGAATTTATGACTTTTTTTTCCAAAATATTCTTGTAATTTTGTTTTTCATTCTTGATAAAAAATTTTGCTTACCTTGGGAAGCCATGGGCAGTAATTAAACATGTAATAAAACGTTCAGAACGTCCAAAAAATTTCAAAATTTGAAATTTCCCCTAAGCAAAGTACCCTTAATTTTTTTTTTTGTAAAAAACTAACAAAGTTGAATCACGAAATGCTTAAATACTAGGTTTGGTCAGAAGAGAATCTCATTTTGCAAATAAGAAGACGTGATTTTTAACTTTACTTAAAACGGACAGAAAGTGTGAAAAATAAGGAAACTTATATACAAGGTATCCGGTTATACTGTAAATGGGGGTGGTAAGTTCCTCTTGGAAAAATAGTGGGGATAGTTCATGTTTTTCTCAATATAGCTGAATTTCCGAATTTACAGGGTGTTAAATTTGTTACTTTGAAGTAGAGCTGGGCAAAATACTTTGAAAATGTATTTAAAATAGACAAAACAAAATAAACAAAATACTTCTTTGGCAAAGTATTTTAAATATAAATTACTGAGTATTTAAAATAGTATTTTAAGTAGGTTGAATATTAAAAACATGTTGAAAATATTCATTAACAGTATTTAAAATATTTTTGTGAAATATTAAATCTCAAACTCTTAAGATGTATCTTGAAAATATATGTATTGTATATGCGAGGCAAGCCCGATTTCAAGATCAAAAAATAAAAAAAAACATTTGGATTACCGAGATGCAGAATAGTTAATTTGATCATAATCTTTTATTAATCTTTCTTGGAATAGTCCACTAATGATAAAAGAAATTAATTTTAAATTTTGATGATTGACTACTGACTTGACTAGTGATGATAGTGACTTAAAAGGTAGTAGACAGAACAGCAGTAACACAATGCAGATTGCAAATTGACAAGTAAAATATGCTAAATTCAGGCGTGCAGGTGCGTAATTTTTTTTAACACGTGTTGTACCAGTTGCCAGGCAAAAAGTATTTGTTTTTGGTAGGTATTTAGGGTATTTTAAATATTTCGAGTAGTTAAATTACTTTTAGATTTTAAATACTTTTTAAAATACAAAATACTATTTTATACTTAAAATACTATTTGGTATTTTTTTTGTTGAAATACTCCCAGCTCTGCTTTGAAGAGATTTTTAATAATCATCTTTAAATCGGCTGAAGATAAAGATGTAAAATTTTGTACAGGGATAAATATCAGCTATAAACTAAAAAAAAGTACAAACTATTTTTTCCAATAGCTGTGGTGTCCTTGCAGGTAGGGTATAATTGAATAAAAATTAAGTTAAAATTTCGTAAACATCCCAAAGAATACAAAAAAGGTAGTTATACTAGTTAAAAATCGATGGGATAGCTACTTGAAAAAACAATCCTAAGTAAATTGTAGAAATAGTATGAGCTTTCTATCGTGGTCATTTTTACGGATTGGTCTTTATCAAGGGCGATGTTAGAATAAGAATACAGTATTTCTTTGAAAGATTATTCAACAATTTCAGTTTGTCCTTTAATTAAATAGATCATAAGCCCACGTTTCGGCAACGTAGTGAACATTTTCAGAGATATGTGAATTAATATTTTTCTACCTCAACACACTGTGTTTTAAAAATCAGTGGTATTAGATACATTAGTTCATTAAGACTTTTTATATAAAACGAATCAAGGGCAACACCCTGAAATTATAACATGGGCAGAAAACACCATATACAGAGTGTTTGTAAATAAGTGTGAAATATTTTAGCGGGTGGTTGCCTAAGTTATTTTGTGAAAAAAGTTCATATAAACCTACGTCGAAATATGCTTCGTTTCCGAGATACTGTGTTAAAATTTTAATTTTTTATTTATTTTTATTAATTATTTCAGTTTTAAAGATATCGACTCGAAATTTGAAAAACGCCTTGGGGGAATAAATTTTTTGGGGTGATCCAAATATTTCAATTTGCAAAAGTGGCGTTTGTGTGTTAATACACAATTTTATTTTTCTGTAGCTTGGGTGTACTTTTTATAGGAGTTATTAAAAAAATATGTTATTATTTCTATTTCTTAAATTGTCATTTTTCTCTTTTAAACGACCGTTTGCTTACCACTCTTGGCAAGTTTCAAGTTGACATTGCATTTTTGGATAAATTTCTAACGCCATTTTTATTAATAATAATAAACTTCTCTTGAAAATGTAAAGAACATATTACAAATAATTTTAAGGGTGCCCAATCTTTTTTCTTAATGGCTTGGCTTAAAGGGTGGAAATGAAATTGGAATGGGTCAAATTTCATTTCCACCCTCTTTAGGAAACCCGAGAATAAAAACAAGAAAATGGGTACCTAACACAGTTTTATTCAGTAACTAATCACCTGTAATTTAACATTAATGTATGTTTATTATTGAAATGATATGTTGAGGGTTCAATATTTACAATTATTTTTAATAGCCATCATGAAAATAAATACCAATTGTCACAAAAAACTAATTATAAATAGCTGGTTGATAATATGAGCCTGTATACATATTTACATCAGTTAATAATGTGGCACTAAAAAACATGAAGCCAACACTGGAATAAGTGTATGTGAGACGGAGGATGCTGCGCGAAGCCGTCAAAATGGCATAAAATATTTTTATATTACTTACCTAAAGAATGAAATTTCAACACTATTGTGATCAGATCTGCTATTACAATTGTCAAAGATACACTGCCCCATGATTGCACAAATAAAAACAATATATTTAATAAAATATTAACAATGTTAACACAGTGAATGTCTAACAGCGACAGAGCGTGAGGCTGGCTGAACTGACGGTTGGCTTCACCGGCTTGCCTCTATAGTTTTTTGTACTACTATTTTGTCTATGGCTGTAAATGAGAAACGTGAGATGGGTGAAACTACTAATAAAATACTTTGAAAATTTTATTAATTTGTATTTCATACAATTTTGTAAAGAAAAATATAACTTATGCAAAAAATATCTATCCATAATTAAAAATTGGAAAATGTTTTCAATAATATTCTTTGCGCTATTAGCGACAGCAATTAAATACAAATTTGATGTTAACAAGGTTATTTAAATATTATTGAAAACAATATTTTTGGTGACTAATCACTATTGTTAAACCACAGGTCCATTTCACAACACTATAATTGTAGTATGTAAAATATAACACAGACAATTACAACTTATCATCGACACCAACACCCACATCTGATAGATCATGATGAATTACTGAGGTACTGGCAAGTTCACTGAACGACTGTTCAAGGCAATGCTTCAGTTCTGCATAGGAAACCACTAAAATACTTTGTTCATCTCTGGACATCAAACATATTTTTTCTGGAACCCCTACATCCAATTTATTAAGACACTGTATAATATGTGCCATGTCCAACCAAGGGTTACCTTCTTCCGTTACTTGATGAAAAACATAATCTCTAAATAATTTCAGCATGTATCTGCAAAAGAAAAACATATTTTAAACTTGAAATAACCGATGGAGACTGGTGACAATTACGGTGATTATATTTTGAAAATGAAGCAGTTTTTTAGAGGATATAAAAAACCTTTATTATTCATGGGAAATCAAAAATTAGAAGGTTGCCCACAATAAAATTTCAAAAAGGGTTATACATATGTACCCAAAATATTTTCTTTCATAATTGATTAAAATGTTTTTTTATTCTTCAAAAAATTTAACTTTTTTCTGGGGTTCTACCTATTTAAATTTTAATTCAATACTTACATTCCATTTTTCAAACTTCCTAATACTGATTGAATGAAAAAATTAAAATCTAAATCAAAATTAAAAAGCTACCTGTATCTACCAACCAACTATGAAAAAAATTATATTTTTTTTTGCAAATAAGTACCTATATGTGCAATTCTTCGAAATTTTTAGTTTGAAAAATAGTTATTTTTGTATCTAGTGCGCGAAATGCTACTTTGGTGATCGAGAATTGAATTTTTTAACTAGGCGAAGCCGAGTTAAAAAATTATTCGAGACCACCAAAGTAGTTCGCGCACGAGATGCAAACAATATTTTTTCTACAAACGTCAAAATCTATCTCTTAAAAATATTATAAATAAGTAAAATGCCTAATTTACTATAGAAAATAGTGTTGAGCTGGCTTAAAATGTCTCTCCTAATCAATTTTTCACTGTTACTGGAATGGAAACAAAGTGGCTGTTGTTGACAACAATAATAATTATTTTAAAGTGACGTTTGTGCTCGCGTCTTCAATTTTTAAGTGCCAAATATTATTTAAAATAATGGAAATTGCTAGTGACGATGAACTAAGTAGTATCCCACCTAATTTGGCAGATGCAGCCAATTTGGTAACTTCAAATCTTTTACCGGAAAAATCGAAGCGCCAATATGAAAATGCATATCGGCAATTTAAGGAGTGGTGTGAAACAAATAAGGCAATTATCTGGTTTAGGAATAAATATTGGTTCGTGTACTGGTTGTACGATTAATGTTAATATTGTAAATAATAACTAAAGTTATTGTAAAATTCTGTCATTATTTTAAAAGTATTTAATTGTTATTCATTTAAAAATAAATAATAATTTGGAGTTTTGCTTCATTTTTTCAAAGATTGAAATACAAAACTCTTATTAATTTACATGCAGTGTGCAAAATACTTCGCACCCTAGTGCGCGAGGTATTTCGCGCACGGTGTCATGGTAACGTAAGAATCCGAAAAAAAGTGTCACTTCGCATATTGTTGTCAATGCGCAAACCTTGTCATTTTTTGACGTTTGTAGAAAAAATTTTTTATCTCACTTTAATTTTAACCAACCACTATTGAAATTAACTATATTCTATTTCTACTTCAGGCAGTTAGAAATTCTACATACTTCTATAATAAATTTTCTTATCAAATTGGTAGGAAAGTAATAAAAAAAAATCTTTTTTTTTTTCTTTAATGGAGAAAAAGACTTTTTTCCTCTTAACAGGTCACATTTTTACCAGGGAAGAAAAATTACTTTTTCCTGAATTTTGTTTGCCGTTTTTGTCTCAATTTTCTGGGAACAAACGCGTGTCTTATAAAAATGAAGTCTCAACAAGAAAATGTAGAAAATGTTACACATTTTATTTATAAAATATCTACAGGGTGAACCGTTAGTGTGGCAATGAACAATACATCTAGTATTACCCTAGATATAAAAAAAATCAAATCACAGATAATTACAAAAACAGATTAATAGTGGAAAATAAAGATATGTAATTTAAAAAAATAATTAAATACATATACCTTGATAAATATTAAAAAGAATTAAAAAAGTGTAGAAATACAAGGCCTCGTATTTAAAAAACTCAATTGTCTATGGAAAAAAACCTGTACAATACTGAATGTCACTAACCCTTGTCATTTATACAATACTACGAAATATTTTGGTTTTAACTATTAGCATTTGAAAATTATTACAAATTTTAATGATTTCCTAAATCTATAAATTATATTGGCATACGTACAATTTTACTATGACTTCAGGTATGTAAAAATATATAGGGTGTTTCTTTAAAATAAAACTTTAACAGACACACTTTCTTATATTCAAGAGTAACTTTGAATAGTTTTTTTGATCCTCTTTAATTAAGAGGTAAAGCCACTCCAGAATTTTGAAAATATCGATTTTTGGATAAATGATTTACAGAATGTTTTCTGTGAATATAGGAAAAAGTTTTTAGGTGGGTGGAAAACCGGGAACACTAGTTTCTTCGAGGTGGAGCAGAGTACACTGCAGAAATGCTTATTGTTACTGGTGAGAACTCGCGGGATACTAAACTGTTAAATATTGAGTCTCGGATGAAAACAAAAAGAGGACATAGAAAATATCGATATAGAAAGCCAATTATATGGTGCAGGCATCGCTGATTGAAGGTATACACAGATCGAATTTCTTATACTGAATGGCAACAAAAACTTTAAAAGCACTTTTCGAGTAACCACTTTTTTTAACTAGGTTCAGGTTAACAGAGGTTCACGATAACATAATTCAGGGAACACCGTAGGAATTTTTCAATTGATTAACAATTTTCTCTAATTTTTAAAATTCTCTAAATTCTTTAATTAAATTTAATGCAAAATTTTTCGTCTCTTTTCTATTTTTTTTAATGTTTACTAAATCAACAACTGTTAATATTTTTTAATTTCCCTACAATGTTCCCTTTATTTTCTTAGCATATAATATAAAAAAAAATTTTGTTTTTTTGTTCTAAGATCGTAAGAAACCTTTCCAGCCTTACAGCCCTTTAAAAAAAAAGGTGTTGTTGCTTGTCATCACCTATACCCGCTAGTTTGAATTCAAATTGTTTGAAAAAATTCAAAATACTATCTAAAAACATGTACAATAAAGCCATTTTGTTCCTGATACTATATCTTGCATCAATTTTTCCTTGGAAATTCCCAAAAATCACCTTTTTTTCTCATATCTAGAGTGGTGTTACCCGTCAAATGTCAGTTATACTTTGTCACAGTTATATTCCGTCGTATACAGGGTGATTCAGAATTTATTCAAAAAAATTTGGGAATAGATGCAGCATGAGAAATGGAGTCAATATCGTAAAAAAAAATTTTGTAAAATCCTTATAGTTTCCGAGAAAAAAATTATTGAAGTTATAGTACATTCAACGACTACATAGCTGGACAACTGTAGTCTCTAGCGTCATTCGCAATGCGCGTGGAGAGCCACGTTGCCTCAGCGACTCCAAATACTGAAATCGGATTTTGCAATCGTCGTTGCAATAGTATTTACCCGTTATCTGTGGTGTTTACAATAGTTTTTTTAGTAGTTAGTGTCAAAAATGGGTAGTTAGTGTCAAAAATGGTTTATGTATAGCAACTCGGAGTTGATGGATATCGTTTTAATTTATGGTGAAGCATTTGTGATATGGTGAAGCAAGACAACATTTGTGTTAGTTCATAGAAACCGAGTAAAACGGACCCAAATGTGTTTACACGTTGGTGGATAAAATTTTGAACAATTGTTGTTGTAACATCGGGTATGTCAAATGATTTTATTATTTAAAAACACAAATTAATTGTATTAATTAATACAGGCAAAAGCAGTTGAATTTACCAATATAAAATAGGTGCGATAAAATTCTATTTACATATTTCTTTCCTTGCGAAAGTTTTTGTCCGTTTTTATCACACCGCCTTGCCGGTCGCATTGTGCGACGTCAGGTTTTATAGTGGAAAAGTTTCCAGTGCCGTGCAGAAGTGTATTTTTAAATCATTTTCGAACTGCCCTTTTTGATTTTTTCTTTACAAAAATTGTATTTATAAGGGTCCCCTGTACATCCAGAATTTTTTTTTGGATAAGTTCTGAATCACCCTGTTTATAAAGAATCTAAGTCAGGGGTGGCCAACCCAAAACTCCGCGGGTCGCATATAAAATTATATATTATATATATAATTATATATTATATATTTATATATATCCTTGTATTAGATTAATTTTTGAATATATAAAAACATAAAACATAAAACACATCACAGAAATGAGACGACCCCCAAATCTAAAGCCAAAGGCTGTGCGGAAGGGAGTTACACTTGAAAAAACGAAGGGCCAGGGATTGAACCCGGACCAGAATAGGAGACTTGGCCGAGAAATGATTACCACTGCACTTTCGACCGACTACGCTACCCTGGCGATATGGGTGCACAAATAATGTATTTTTTAATACATTGGAATTCATTACTTTCGACATTATAAAATAAATATATTTTGTAAAAGTGAGGAATCTCGCAGGCCGGAAAAATGTCCAAGGTGGGCCGCATGCTGGCCACCCCTGATCTAAGTTGCTCCAATTCTTACACAATTAAGTTACATGGTACATGAAAGGTACTTAATATATTTGTTAAGTTAAAATATTAAAAGTTAAGTAAATACGTAGATCAGGCCAAAAGCCTATTTTATCAACACAATCTAATAAAAATGTATCATTTATTTATTTTTTTAATATTTGGGATGCAAGTAAAGTATCGACTATTCCTATAATCGAATAACAGGAATACATCTATTTTAAAACATAATTCAAAGTTCAGGAGAAGGTAGGGGTAGTAAAAAGACTTTGGGCAATAAATTGTGATAAGTAAAACGTGTAAGGTAAGATTAGAAAACTAGTACGTACAAAACTACAGAAAGTGACATGCAAAATTCCCCACATTTAGTAAATTATCACATTACAAAATAATCATAGATGTTTCATCTTACTGGAATGGCCAAATTCAGTGTTCCTTCTTATATACTTATAACATATAAAGCAAGCTTGGAAGAATCTACTTCTGCTACAAAATTTGATTAAGTATGGGTGATTGATACTTTCGTTATACAAGGTCATAGTAACTGAACCCAAAAAAAAAAAAATCAAAATTAAGAAGTAAGAAATAGGTTATAATAACAGAGGTTGTTAAAAACATAATGAAATCCATATATTATCGATAGAATAAAATGGAAAAAAAAACAACTATGCTATTTGATTCTGTTGTGTTGCATGTTGCATCAGTATATGTAACAAAAGCAATACATGCTCACTTAAAAGTTCATTTATGAAAATTTGTGGTAAAATGATCTTTTTTTAACAAATCTGACTTCTTACTTTTTTATTTAATTGGGTATTTCTACCACAATGAAAACAGATAAATAAATTTTAAATAAACAACCCCTTGTGTCAAAAGGAGTCATGGGGTTGATTTTAAAATTTAGTTTTGCTTAACCACAAATGTCTCGCATTGAAAAAGTAAATATTGTTCATAATTATACTATAAGCACTACAATACATGACAAATTGTTAATATTTCAAAAACCTCTCTATTTTCATTCTCAAAACTTGAATCAAAATGACTAAAAATCAAATACATTTATTTCTTTTTTATTTTTCTTTCAACTGTCACATTTGACATTTACTATCTTATTTTTTTTTCAACTCCACCCACGTATAAACTGCATACAGAGTGCCCCTTTTTCGAGCTGCACCACTGGAATGTCGGTTATTTTAAGAGGTCAAATTAGAGCAAAGTTGCGGAATTTGATGAAAATAACTTGCTAAAAAATCTGGTCAGTCTTTTTTCTTTTTCAAATTATCAACAAAAAATTGAAAATTTTGATTTTTAACACTGCACCAATTATCTAGCATACTACTACCGAATGCAGAGGAAGTATTTACTATTATATTAAGTTGTCAGTTTTTGTTCATTTACTATAGTATATATAGTCTAGGTTTTTGTTTTCATCGAAATACCAAAAATCCGTAAAAATTAATTCACAGTCCTAGTATACAGGGTGTTTCAGTTCGAGTGAATCAAACTTTAACCACAAATAGAACTCAATAAATAATTCAGAATTGCCTTATAAAGCAAGGGTCTAAGTCTCACCATTTTCACTGTACAGGACCATACTGGTCGGTTTTTAAAATCATATTTTTGAAATCTTTGCTATGCTTATAACAAACTGATTCAAATTTGGTGTGGTGTTAACATTTACATATGTGCATAATTTACTGTAAAATTTACAAATTTTTTGTAGGTGGCATAGGAATGGGTATTAAAGCGGGATTTTTTTACCCCAACTTCTACGCCAATGACCTAATAATCATTTGGGATTCATTTTTAGATTCCGTGGACAATTCTAAATAAAAAAGGTATATGTACTTGTTGAATAACGGTATAGTGTATCGTTTTACCGAAAATTTCAGTTGAATGGAAGACCATTCTTCTGATAAGAAATTTAGTTTCTTAAAGGATCACTTTAGAATTCAAAACAATATTATATAACAACGGTGGACAGCATGTTCAATGGCACCTTCTCTAAAATTTCATTTGTCTTATTCTAAAGCAGTTATAGGTATCCTTGCTCATTCAACAGTCCGTTTGTTTCAGATATAATACCTTTAAAAAATTACAACTACATATTTTTAAATCTGCGCTGTGCATCCATTACAGTATCCGTACACAATGATTGCCATGAATGAACAACTAAGCAATAAGACTTATGTCTCATCAGGAACTGTCGTTTTATTCTTAAGATTTGAAACATTAGTTAGTGTTTGTAAAATAATGGATGAATATTCAAGATTTTCTTATCATTCAACTGAGATTTTCGGTAAAACAACACAACAAGTATAGTAGTTTTCAACAAGTATACCTTCTTTATATAAAATTGTCCATGGACTCTAAAAATGAATCCCAAGTGATTATTAGGTCATTGGCGTAGAAGTTAGGGTAAAAAAATCACGCTTTACTACCCATTCATACGCCACTGACCTGCAAAAATTTGTATATTTTACAGTAAATTATGCACATGTGTAAATGTTAACACCACACCAAATTTGAATAAATTTGTTATAAGCATAGCAAAGATTTCGTAAATAACATGATTTTAAAAACCAACCGATACGCCCCTGTACAGTGAAAAGGGCGAGACTTAGACCTTTGCTTTATAAAGCAATTCTGAATTATTTATTGAGTTCTATTTGTGGTTAAAGTTTGATTCAATTGAACTGAAACACCCTGTATATAAACATTAAACATTTTGAGCGACAATATCACAAGCGCTGAATATGACTAGATGTGAACTGTTTTTTTTTAATAAATAATATTGTTTTTTACTAAATTTCTACCTGATGAATATCACTTTGATATTTTAGCAAGACAAAAGTTGCCAGTCTTTTCTCCATCATGGAGACAAACAAAAAGTGTCCTAACAATATCCCAGTTTGAAAAGTGAACCTCTCCGTTTCGATTAAAAAAATAAAAGTGAAAAAATTTCCAATTTTTGGTCTGTAAGTTCAAAATGAAAAAAGATGTGGAGAATTTCTCATCATATTCCGCAACTTTGCCCCACTTTAATCGACCTTGCATCTCTTAAGACACTGCGGTTCGAAAAAGGGGTACCCTATAAATACATACCTATCTCCTGTCTCTGCCCAAGTACTTTCCATATTGAAGTCAGGTCTTTCGTTAATCGTAGCTAATTTGGCCATGAGCCTGAAAAGACGCCCATTTTGTACTTCTTTCGATAATTCATTATCAAGGGTTTCAATCTGATTGTGAAGGTTATCCAATTGGGTATAAAACCGAGCACCGATCATTGGCATAAGGTCAGTTACACTTCTCCTCTGTTGAGTACTTAGGAGGTACATTATAAGGTTCCGAAGATCTGACGTATAGGAACGACTCACGATATCCAACGCTGTAGATATGTTATCACGTTGTACTGCCATTGTAGATTTACAGGCCAGTGCCAAAACCAATTTCCCAAGTGCGGACAAGTCTTCTTGTTGATAATGTTGAATCAGAGCCACATGGCTAATTGTTGAATTAGTTTCCTGAAGGACAACATCCATAATTCCAAGGCAACTTAATCTTAATCTAGAAAAGAATACTAATTTTATAATTAAAATTTTTTTTTTTTTTTAAAGGGTGCTTGCTAGAGAACTGTATACAAATATTTTTTTGTAAACGAATTAAGTGTATAAAAAAAGAGGTGATCACATTTTTTAATTCTATAGTTTCAATAACTGTGGCTAACTGCATTACATAGAATAGAATATAAGTGATAGTTATGAAAACAGAATATGTACTTTTAAATTAAAATAATATAGTAAACACAGGGTTATAAATTAATACAAAATTTCGCTAGTTTTCGATTTGATAACATTTTTGTATAACAATTAAAATTAGTTAAAAAATAATATATTTCTCATTTTACTGAAGTCATTCTCGATAAAAAATTTTGATTCTCTTTTATTGTCATGTAGAATTTTTATTTTTCTTAGAAAATGAGAAAATATAAAAATAGTGCAAGAATGAACTGCTTTTATTTTTAACAGGAAAAGTATTATCAACAAAAATTATTTGGAATAGAAATTTGGAGATTAAAGACAATCAGAACAATATCAAAAATTATTCCAGAATTTTTAAAAACCCAAATGAAATTTTTACCAAAAATTTTCAAATGTCAACCTGCCAAAATTAACTCGGAGAAGAAACTGTTGAAGATGTTAGTATCATAAATTATCTTTCAGAAGACTCAGAATATATGCAAGTAGTTCAGACTTGTTAGCTGTATTCTTATTTTATTTAACAATGTTTCTAAGAATTGCAACTTGTTCCTTCTTTGTAGACAAGCTCCTGAACCTGATAACGTATTCTTACAATTCTTGAATCTCGAATTCGCTATCTTATTTTTAAGGTATTCATATGCTCCATCTGATTTGTAAAGCTCAATCGTCTTTTCAATAGCATTTTGATGTTTTATCAGATCTACTACAATCCAAATATTTCTTACTAGAACCACATCATTTAAGATTTCTAGGTCGTGTTAAGGTATGTCACTCTTCAGACTTCTTAGTAGTTCTAATTAAGTCACCTCTCCCAATGGAGGAGCAGTTTCAGTTATTGGTGTCATGCTTTCTTTTATCGTGATCCAGTACAACTCTGGTTGGTATTTGGTTGGTAGTAATGGGCAAAATCGAGTACTTGGTTTTCGAATGCATACTTTTAAATTTGCTGTTTTTTAAATACATTTTCAAAAAAAAAATTATTATTTCAATATGTTCTTTCATTACCAATAAACAATATGTGTGTTGTGTGATATATAGAATATTTGAGTCATGCATTTGTTTAAGTAAATGCTAAAGATATTCAAATCCTTCTGTTCATTTGATATGCTAAATCAATAGTTGATTTAAATTCACTCGAACAACGACTGAGTTTTCCAATGGGGGAAATGAGTAAAATAGAACAACGAAGAAGTCTGAAGATACCTCTACTTTAGTAGATCAAACAAAACAACTTCAAAACGGTATTAAAACACAATTGAACATTCCCAAGTTAAGACAGATAAATGAGATATATCATATATCATATATATGAGAATAATTAATTTCCGATTTAAGAATCACGAGAACAAGTTATCAGGCTCAGAGTACAAAGAACAAATTGTCACTCTGAGTCCTCTTTAAACTTAATAATACTACAGCTGAATTTGCAATAACGAATCTCAAAGCGAGAACAAGAAAACAATTCTCAGAAACTACTTGTAAGTTGTTTTAAACAATCATAAAATTCAAAAAGTTTTATATAAAATATAGTCCTCGCGAAAGTGTCAAAATCTTGGATTCTGTTTGTAAATTGGACACAAATATTGACAATAGAAATAAATTTAAAAATATTTCTCAACTATGTATGTGCCAATTATGTCGACCCTTTATTTTTCTAATATCGAAAGCTATTGCAACAGAAATGGTTACTTGATTTGCTTTAAACTTGTTAGTGCAACTAGAAGACCTAAATTTAAACGATTTTATTTTTAGCCCAACAGCATACTCTGCAATTATTCTGACATGGTTAAAATCGCCTCATTTAAAATTTTCAATATTTATTATGCCCTCTTAAAAAAAATTTTGTTCAATAGGTTTTTAGATAGTAATACAGACTTGTTTATTATTTATCACATTAAAAAAGCTCTTTAGTAATATTTAAAAATCTTATTTTTTCTAATAATTACTAAAATTATCTAATACATCCACAAACTGAATTATATCATAACTTTAAAAAAAAACTTTTCTTAGTGGCATATCGTCATTGCGACTTCAAAATGCAACATGTGCATACTTTCAGCAAAACACATTAAGTGCAGAAATTCGATTAACGTCATTAAACGCATAATCTGGTTAAAAACAGCCAACTTATTGTTTTACAGAACTCTGACTGTCCGCTGTAAAATTAAAAATAATTGTTGTAATTCTTAAATAAAAAGGGGTCAAGAAACAATTTTTTTAACTCCACTGAACAATCTGATAAAATAGCCATGTAGTATTTTGAAGGCGCAACGATATGTTGTTCAGAAAGTCTTTAATGTACAAAGTAAAAATTCTGCATGAAAACTTTATTACAAAAAATAGGCCAAATTTTATAACAAGAACTTTCTTTTTCCTTGTCCACTTGAAACGTGAACTTAGTGTGCGTGTGTTTATATACTATTACCTGTTTTGTGAATTTATGATTATCTTAGTTGGATCCAGACTTCTACATGCTAAAGCTGATGAATGAATTATTCTTAGAGCTGATGTTAACTGAATTATATAATTCCAAATAAGAGATTCTGGAAGCTTGTTATTTTGTGTATGTCTTAATAAATTATTTTTTTGATAGCTGTAAGGCCTGGGTGTAGTCGTATCATTCAAAAAAGGGTCACAATAACCAGTTTGATCGGGAGAGAAATGTTTGTTTAGTAAAGTTTCCGAACCTGGATGGTAATCATAAACAAATATCATTGAATTGTCACCAAATGCTTTCGTGGTAAAAACTTCTTTTAACTGTACAATATTGGAATGATTTAATTTTTTCCACAATTCCACAAAAGCCATGCATTTAGTATTAGACAACCTAAAACCATGTATCCTCCTTAAACAGTAATGTGTACCAGTTTTTACATGTGTTGCTTTGTACATTGACGCCTGATAGCCCATATGGGCTTTGTGCAAATTATTATGGGATATTGGTTCTAAGGGAAACAACTCGTGGTAGCTATCCACTTCTTGAGGAAGATCAGGATACTGCTGTGGGTCCGGTTGCAATAGAGACAGAACATTTCTATTCAGTATATCACTTCGAATATCTTCCGACATAAAAAACGAAGGCTCTTGCTTTCCTGTATAAACATTATAATCTGCAGTTATGCCACTATTTACTGAGTTATCAGCAAGTTGTGGTTGGCAATTCTCAGCAGCTGTTTGATATTGATAAAAATATGTTGTTCCGCCAACATTTTCTTGATATGCAGGTAACGCTGAACTATTTCCTAACTTTTCATGTAATGTAGGAGAATTGTTTGTAAGAGGTGGAGATGCAGATTCTGGAGTGGCATGGCTTGAAATATCTCCTTCGTCTAACTTTTTTGTCAATGGATGTGCTGTAGTAGAATTAGGTACAGAATATGAAGTTAAAAAATTTGGAGAGGCCGAAGCACTAGAATTAATTACCCTAGGAACAAATTCGTTTGCATGAGCTGAAACATTATTAAGTATTATTAACGATATAAAGTAGAGATTGTTAGATGAATTACTTGCTCTGGCTAGATCAAGACGAGTGGAAAGCGAACGGGAATGATTATGAGGCATCCAATCCATGAGTTTATTTTATATGTAAACTTCTTAATCACTTGTATTTATCACTTTTAGAATTTAATGTTTGCTACATTAGCTGATTTAATAACTTTCGAATACAACTACAAAGGACATGCATATTGTACTGCATACCCACTACAAAACGATTAGAGATAGAAATATGCAAGAAGCCAGAATACAAATGTGGTGAAATTAGATTATCAAAACTGCTTTCTAATTTGTAGTTTCTTTCAATTGCCTCCACGGTGCAAAATGGACAAGAGCGAAAGAGCAGATTTCTAATCACATGATACTGGGCTGGAGACCCGACACTTCTTTTTTTTTTTATATCAGTGTTATTCACAGGTAACAGAATACATAACTCTATGGTGCTATTTTACAATTCGATACTTTTTTAGGGATATTTGCTTTAATACATATCTAGGTATTCTAGGTAAATTTAGACGTTCTACACAAAAATTAAACAGAATAATATAATAGAAATTAAGATTTTAAGGTTTTCTAAAACCGCGAAGCCCTCAAATTTAAAACTTTTATTTTTAATATATGACGTCAATCAGAATAGAAAATTATGGTTAAAGAAAGAACACAGATGAGCCGGCGAAGCAAGAAGAGCGCCAGAAGAAAGGGCCTTAGCCGGCGAGGCCCAGTCAGGACAAAAGGAGGTCCCACAAAGCGCTTACACTGGCCGCATTTGCGGTCGGGGTAGACGACGGATGGGGCCACCTACGAAGGCTGTCCAGGCCTACACGAGATGAGGCAGGATAAAGAGCAGGGATAATCCCCCTCGATCCCAAATCATTGAGGCCAATTTCTAGCCATGGAATAATGGAATAAGGAACTTTAAGCTGCAACGGTGCGTGGAGTGGAAAAAATGTAAATAAAGAGCATAAATTACAGTCGAGAGTTATGTCATGTCAAGAGTTATAAGAGCAAAGAGCACAAACCATATATTTGACACTCACTGTACCACTGTACATACAATAGACACGCGCACGCCATAATTCCATGGCTAGAAATTGGCCTCAATGATTTGGGGATCGAGGGGGATTATCCCTCCTTATCCTGCCTCATCTCGTGTAGGCCTGGACAGCCTTCGTAGGTGGGCCCCATCCGTTGTCTACCCCGACCGCAAATGCGGTCGGTGTAGGCGCTTTGTGGGACCTCCTTTTGTCCTGGCTGGGCCCCGCCGACTAGGGCCCTTTCTTCTGACGCTCTCTTGCTTCGCTGGCTTGTCTGTGTAAACCCCGGTGGTGGTCATGTTTATGTGTGGTACGTGTATTTGAACATTTACTGAAATTTTTCAATATTCAGTTGGCGTTTTGGTTGTTCATATGCATTTTTAAGAATTAATTTGTCATAATAAAATTAAAATTGTAATGTTTTAATTTTGACGCAACAACTTATTGAGTTATGTATGACCAAGTGATGGTAATAGTTAATAATAATAAATGTTTTATTGTAACGCGTGGTGATAATAGTTTAAATAACTAGATGGATTTCACAGGGTATAACGACACATACAGTGTACGATAATTCAATAAACAAAGAAATCTTAGAAATCTAAATAAAATATTTAGATAAATTTGGAATGAATAAACTGAAGATGAATTTTTTGAGACAAAACGTCTGAATCTGGTTCGGGCTGAGGCAGTACAGTAATGGGGATCATGAAGGCTTGCAAAAAATGTAATAAAATTTCTAGGGTTGTATTTAAAAAAATGAAGTTGATGATGGTCCTGGAGAGAAGAAACGTTACATATAAAAATTGATTATGCCATTCAATAGAGGACAGAAAGTTGCCACGAGTGTTTTTCTTTTTTTTTTTCAATATCACCTCAAACAAGCCTGAAATGGAACAAAAACCGATTGCCAAAATTTCTTTTTTTTTTAAATATTTCGAAAACTAATCATGTTAGCCTTGATTTTTTAGAGGCATAATGTTGGTGTCCTGATTACGCAACTTTGCCCCCATTTAAGCTAGTTTGTATCTCTTACCATTTTCGAGATCCCTGTATGTAGTGAGAAGCGAATTTGTAATGGCCTGTATAGAGGGGGCATTTTGATTGACGCTCTCATATTTGATTTATTACCCTATTATAACAGTTTAAGCAACGAATTGTTTCTATTTGGGCACTTTTTCTTAGATCTGATAACTTACTCTGACCACGGACAATCTAATTTACCCTAAAACTATGGGCAATTAGCGAACTTTCTTGTTCTTTAATAGTCCTATTATGTAGTGTCTACATTCCATAGGTCCCACTTTTTTTAAATTTTTTAAGATTTGAAATAATCACAGGCTTTGTAAATGGATGGCCCGAAGGATATTTATATCCTTCGGATGCCCCGAACAGACGTGAGCGGGAGGTAGTTAGTGTAGGCAAAAGTCTAGAATTCAAATTGAACTAAACTTCGATTCACTTAATAAGTATTTGCAAGCTTTTAAATTATTGAGCAGTGATAGTAATGCTGGATGCATTTTGCAAACAAAAAAATATATATTAATGATAAACAGTAAATACATTCAAAAAAGATAAAAGCTATATGTATTCAAACATACAGCAGTTATGAAAATATTCCTCTCAGTGAAGCAACATTTTTAATTTGTAATAGTATTGTGCTTTATAGTAATGTTTTTATATTATATCTGACTCACTCTCCATAATTTCGACCGCGAAGTATAATTCAAATAAATCCTATCAAATGAAATTAACCAACATTCTTCGATACCAGAAATCTAGGTATTCAAGATATTAAACGTCAGACAAGAATACTAACTGTTGTTACTGCGGGAAACAACTACAGTACAACTTCGACAGTCCGGACATGCGCCAGTCCGGTTACTCCAATAATTCGGACGCTTCTACATTTCGGACAATTTAAAATTTTTACCTCTACAATCCGGACAAATTTTTTTTATGCAAGAATAAATATTAAAATTCGGGGGTTTCCCGTTTTTTACTCGCATGTTCTATCATTATCTCGCTCTATCATTACTTCAGTTTCGGTTCATTCTTTCGCAAGCGTGTTTGTCTAATTCCATTCCAAGTGCCATGTTTTTAAATAATAAACGCAAACATAAAACACTAACCTTAAAGGAAAAGTGTGATATTTTACAAAGTCTTGATGAGGGAAAAACTATTAGGCAGGTTGCCGAAAAATTCCATGTTCCTAAATCAACGATTTGCAACATTAAAAAAAATAAGATAAAACAATTTATTTCGAATACCTATAATGGACCCGGTAACATTTGAACCAGAATAATGTAATAAACCATTTTCTTAATACGTATAATTTTTTTTTAGGAAATAGAAGTTATGAAAAAAGCAGAAAATCCAGAGTTAGAGGAAGCGCTTTATACATGGTTTTTGCAACAAAGAAACAATCATATCCCGATTTCCTCAGAAATTTTAAAAGCAAAGGCCAAATTCTTCTATGTAGTATATATGTACATATGTATTTAATTCACTTAGATTACATATTTTAATAATTTAATATAATAATTAAATATAATAATTTATTGTTTTTTAATAAATCATAGTATGTACAATGCATGTATGTATATACAATTTAATTCACTTAGATTATTTCAATATTTTCACCTACTATAGTCCGGACAACTCGTTAATCCGACCGACCCTAAAACTATATGTGTCCGGATTGTCGAAGTTGCACTGTACTTACAAGTTCTTTAAAATAAGACCACCTTATAAATCATACCCCAATTCTCAAAGGTGTTTTACAAAATTTTATTATATTTTTTCATTGTCTACAGGATTTAAGAAATAGTTAATTTCTGGCCAAGCCAAGTTAGCTCCTGATACACACGTTGAAGCTTGAAAAAAAGCCATCAAACTTCTTGATGAAAATCCATTATAATATGAAATGGTGATGAGTGTGATGGGGTAAATTATAGTCCTTTTTAATTCAGTATAAACATTTATTTTCCTTTCCTACTTGTTTTTTTTTTTAAGTAATACCTGTAGACGTTATTTAGGCAAACATCCCTTTACTAATTTTGCCTATACAATTCTTAATGATTCAATTAAAAAACAGCAAATGTAAATTTTCACTTGTCAATGATTCTGTTAAAAAAACCAATAGTCATCCATTCCAATAAAATTAAGCATTTAATTTTTTCTGTTTCGAATTTATAAGACCCAAATACCAGAAAGATTTCATTACGTTGTATATAAGGAAGTTTCTTAAAGATCGATATCACATATTGCCACAAAATCTTCAAATATACAGGGAATGTAATGAACAAATTTAAGGTCTTTGAAAAAAATAATATGTTGAAATTTCTGTTACCCACTGCTAAGTTCAATTTATACGTCCAATGGAACTGGAGTTGATGCAGAAAATGCAAACGGTGGAGGGAAAAATACCTATTACTTTGAGCTTCTTTGTTTGTGGTTCTGCAATCTAACATCAACAGCAAATCAGTCAAATATAAAACAATATTAAATTGTTATGGTGTACAAATTGTCCTATTTTGATCATAGCAGTTTGTTAAACAAACACTTGTGATGTCACCTTATTTTTATTTCAAAGTTCATCTAATAAAGAACTTAAGGAGGCTATTTTTTTATTTTTTAGTCTAATTTGGTTTCTTAAATCTCTCCGTAAACTTATAATTTTTTACAACTTCTTGGGATACTATCCAATGTTTCCTTTTTGCAGGACATTCCAGATCAGATTGTTTAAAATCACCAATATAATCTGGTTCCAATCGTTCTCTAAAAATTTCAAAGAGACTAGTGTACTTATCCTTATTTTTGTTGAATTTGGTGAATACAGAGACCTACCGTTTATGATTTTCCTGTTCCTGAGACGATAGTTGTACCTCTGGTTGAAAATTCTCACTTATGCTGGAAGTGTCATTTCGATTTGAAGATGATGGTAGGATATGTTGTTCACACATTATTTGCTCATTGTCTGCTATAATAAAAATTAAAATAATAATAATAATAATAATAATAAAGGATTCTGGCTATGATAGCGATGATGATAATGATATTACTTTATACATGCACAATAAGTTTCTCCAGTTACGGAACAATATAACGGTTACAAAGATTAAAATAATAAAATAAATAATAGTACTAAAAAGACATGTAGCTATTCCTACATTTATTTCCATAAAAAATATTTAAAAAATTAAGATCTTGCTTAACACATGTTAATTAATTCATTTATATCACAACTTTTACAAATTCAATTAAAATAACCAGCCAAACCATGTTCTCATACACAATTAATACATATGTTCAGAAGTAAAACACAGTTGAAAAAACACCTCTGATCTTACCATTTTCTTTTGAAACTTTTTCCAAAACCCTCGACTCTTTCAGTTGCTTCGACAGATGATTTGGGAAATTAAAAATTGAGGGAACAGCCTCTTTTTTTAGAACTGTATTTCCATGGACATTAACCATGTAATCATCTTTCCGAAAATGATTTTGGCAAATTACAGCTGTGGAGCTAGGGGAATATTTATATCTTTGCATGGCTTCAATCCATTTTTTTCTTTGGACAGGATCTTTAGGAAACCTAAGGAAACATATTTTGTTTGTGCATAAAAATTGTCATTAAAAAAGGTTTTTTTGTCTTATTCTGCTAAGCAAATTAGCAAATTAGCAAATTTTATTAGAATATTTATAATTTAAATTATTTATCATACTTCTATTTATACTAGAGCAATATTTATAAAATACAAATCTAAAATATATCGCCGTTCAGTGCATTTACATCTGAAACTGAAAGCACCATTTTTGATAATAGGAAACATCACTTTTTAAGAGATCATTTTTTGCCACACAGAAAACTGCCATAATAAAAAAAAAATTACTAACAGTGAGATTTCGAAGAGTTGCACATATGTGCAAAATGTACAGGGTTTCCCTAACTCTAACAGTTGACAGAAGACTCGATTTTAAACAAAACAGTTCATGTGAATATAGGGCGTAAATGACTTCCTAATAGAAATACAGGGTATGGAGATTCATATTTTTTTCCTTTTTTTTCATATCTAAAGCACAGTAAGTAAAAACGATACCAAATTGTGGCGACATAATGTGCTTTAAAAATGACTTCCAAACAATTCAAAATGACCACCGGTAGCATGGTAGACGTGTATTCCTTTTTTAAACAGAATTCCTATGCATTCCTTAAAATTATAGGTATGACATTTTTCGAATCATTGATCAATTTCAAATAGTAAGCTGTTCTTGCAAAATTGTCATAAAAAGTCTGAGTAAATGGCATCAAACCTTTTTGATGCAGATACAAATTACACCAAATTTTAGTTGATCAGACAGATTTAGTAGGAGATGCACTCGTTTAGTGGTCATTAGTTGTCAAGTAATTCACAAATAACTTAGTACTATTATCACATTGTAAATAGAATGGACAGGCAAAGCCTGCTTGTATCATAGCCGCAATGGTCACCAGTTATTAATCCCATTGATTACTTTGTCCGGGGTCATATGAAACAGAAATACTATTCTCCAGCAAATACAAGGTAGGAACCAATACAACACAATCAAAATGCTGCTTTAAACATTTCAAATTCAAGAAGGTCATTATTGCATAGATGCCAGTTATTTGGTTAACACAAGAACGAATTTGAGTGTACGAGAACCTGACAAAACCTTATGTGGAGGGGAGGGATCAAAATAATAATTACGTAAGATGACATTATCAAAATTTAAAGAAAATAGTTGCACATTTAAAAAACTCACATGCTTGGTTCGTTTATTTTAAAAAACTACCATTTAGATAAATAATTAGTTATTAAAATTGGGTAGGTAATAAACAAATGTAAATAACTAAATGAGAAAAATGGAATTTTTTTTTACTGTTTTACACCGTTACCACACTTCGTATGAAAAAACCTTACGTAAAAATGGAGGGAGAGGGGTCTGCAAAACTTACAGTCTCTTACGTGAGGTGTGGGGGATCAAATATTGAAATAAATGTTCTTACGTAAGTACAGTTGATACTTTTTTTTGTCAGTTTTAACATTTAGAAGAGCTTATTTATTTTTATATTTAATATCAATCAGTATTTAATATCATTAGATAAAATCCTACAGGGTTAACGTCTAGATTATTTGAGTTTGGGAAGTCTTTAAAATGGTGGGAATAATCTAATCTAATGAGCTACCATCAAATATAACTCTACTTGGTAATTATTGGTAATTATTTTCATAAAAGCAGGTAGTATGGATAAACATCAAACCGATTCTTACCTATGGAACTTTGCTTTTTCCCCACTTAATCGTCTTTTTACACAATTAATGGCAGCACACGACTGCACCATATTTTATAGTCTTTAGAAAAATAGTACTCCAATACACACAAAAATTTAACGAGATGAAAACTCACGGTTTACAGTCGTTTTACAAGTTTCTTTACTCGAGAATCAACAAGTAAATTTTTCATCGATTTGACAATTGACAGTAATTGACAGTATCAGTATACTAAATTCGCCTTACCGAGCACATCACGGCGGCCTTCAACAGGGGACAGTACCTCAGAGTAATAAGTAAAGGGGAGGCCGCATTCCCTATTTCAGTACATAATGTAAACATGTAACTTCAACCTATTGTATGTTGATAAACAAATGATACATAAGTAAACACAATGGTCCCTGGTACAGTGGCGTACCGAGTTTAGGTTTAAAATCTATCATAATATAAGGAAACCATAAAAATTACACTTTTTAATAGAATAAAATCAGAAGTGCTCGATTATTTAAGCTTTCATGTGTAATAAATAGACAATAAATAGGAAAAAGTTAATGGTTTCTTCAAAATCTATAATTAATATTTTAAAAACATTTCCAGAACAAAAGAGTGACTAAAGAAAACTCCTCGATTGAAACTATCATTATACTATAGCTATAGCAATGTCATTGCCTACTATTAATTCTATTATTTCATAGTAGTTCTCGATTACTGGAAGAACATTTATTAAAATAAATAATTTAAATAAAACTACAAGAAAAGGAGCAAAAATATATTTAATTAAAATCTGCTGGAATATAAACAATGCAAAGAAAACAAAACATATTTGTACTAAAAGTAACGGAAAAATGAATTTACATTGAACAACATTTAATCGTGTGGGAAAATAAGCATGTTTTAAATGTACGCAACAAAAATAAGCTGAATTTTGAGCTCATAACATTGACAGCTCGTCTCTTATGGAACAGGGACAACATGTGATTGAAGATGTTTTATAGCAACATCTATAAAATTTCCTTCACTGGCAATTTCTCGAAGAGGGAACCTTTGAGACGGCACAACCATTTCATCAACACTGTGCTAAAACGTATTACCTTCCAAATGTTGTATTAATAGGCACAGCTCCATGTGTGAGACATCGTTTTCCAGTTACTGTTACCTTAATATCTGTAGCACGGAAATGCTTCGACAGACATAATTATCCTTTGAAAAATCATATTCAGATATGGCGAAATTTTCTAGCCACACTGCTCGTATCGCAGGATCTTATGGTATTCTACAAATAAACACAGAGCTAGTGTCAGTATCAAAATACAAACATAATAAATTAACAAATAAAATACTTAGGACACCTTACACCCTTGTAAGAACGCCCATGGAAACAATGTCAAACTTACTTGTGAAAAGAAGTAGCACATATTTGGCTCTTTTCCTGTAATTGTCGGCATATTATAC